AAAAAAAAAAAAAAAAAAAAAAAAAAAGAGTCAAAGCTGAGTAGGAAAAGACGAATTAAACCCTATAATAAAGAAGAAAGAGTGGGGTATTTAAGGAATACTATAAATGTAAAGAACCTTCAATCTGCGAGCAAGTTCGTGGGTGTGCAGAACGTTCGCAAGCTTAGAGAGCGCGTACGCACGTGTCGCATCGTAATTCCTGCTGGAAATTCACCCACGGTAACTGTTTTAGAATTACGGTAAAACTCGAAAAAAATTATTATTATTATATTAAATTAAATACCATTTTTATTCATTTTTAATAAATTTTAAAACTAAAATTTTTTATATTAATTGATTTGTTATATATAAATTTGAATTTAATGTCCTAAATTTTTTATTTTTTATTTTGTGTGCGTGAATATGTGAATTCATACAAAATGGATAGTTTTCAATAAACGTAGGAAAAATAAAAAAAAAGAAAACCCTTTTTATATTAAATTATTATTATATTAAATTAATACTATGTTTATTAAATTTTATGTCCTAAAATTTCGAAATTTTAATTGTGTGTATGATAAATTTGTAAATTAATAAACAAATTAAAAGAAAACCCTTTTTAAATATTAAATTTACCATTTATTTCGGCTTATCTGGCCGAGATATTTGATAATGTCGCCGGAGAACCAGCCGTGAATGCTCGACGACACGTTCACAATCCGCCCCTGAATCCCCGTCGCCTTCGCCGTCTCCACCATCGTATTCACCAACAATTTGGTCAATAAAAAATGACCTGAAAACATTTCACAACATTAATACGCCATTTCTAATTATAATTATTTAAAAAAAAATTAATTACCCAAATAATTAGTGGCGAAGGTCATCTCGATCCCGTCCTCCGAAATCGCGTGCTCGTGAGAGAATTTCCCGGCGTTGTTTCTGAAAATTTAAAAAAAATTAAAATTCCAATTGACAGAGGAAAACAGAAATTAATGGATTCTTCAGGGATTTACATGAGGAGATTAAGCGGGAGATTCAGCGATTCAAATTGGGCAACGAAGGTTCTAACGGAGGCCAGAGAGCTTAAATCCAGAGCCATGGCGATGATTTCGGAACCAGAGCATTCAGCTTCGATCCGCGCCTTGGCTTCCTCGGCCGCCTTCAGGTTCCGCGACGGGAGGATTAACCGAGCTCCGCGTTTCGCAAGAACCCGCGCCGTCTCCGCGCCAATCCCCGACGTTGCGCCTGTAAAAAGAAGAGATTATATAACAGACGATATGAGTAACAGAGGAGGTTTGAGTTGAGTTTACCGGTGATGATGGCGGTGATGGAAGGGAGGTGGAGGGCGGAGGCGGTGACGTGTTCGGCGGAGGATTTGGAGCCGAAGCCGGAGGGGCCAGGGGAGCCGGCGAGGTACTTGATGGAATGGAGCATATTGGAGGTGGTGGTGGTTTTTGGGGTGTAAAAGTGTCAGAAATCGCAGGCCACGCCGCTCTTCATCTGTCAATTTCAGAAGGCAGAGGATTGAAATGGGCTTTCGAACCAGAGTTTATAACGGGGGAGGAGAGAGAAAGGGTGCATATAACATATTTGTCATTTCAGGAGAGAGAGAAAATGGTAATATTTAAATTTAAATTTTTTAAAATTTATCTTTAAATATTATATTATTTTTTTATTTATAATTTTTTCAATTTCTTTAATAAAAATCATATTAAGAAATTGAGAAAATTTTGTCCGAATAAAAAATAAATGTGGATTGAAAATTGAAATAGATAAATTTCTTTTGTAAATATTCACTCAAATTACCAATATTTTAAAAAATGGTTCATAAAATTGGAATTTTATTGTAAAAAATAAAATAAAAAAGTAATTCGAATTTTATAAATTATACTAAAGTAGGCTAAATTCAACAACTTTATGAACCACAGAATCAACTTCGGTATTTGGAAATAGAAATATATTTATTTGGAAAAAAAATAACACTAAAATTGATTTTTGTATATAAAAATTAAAAAAAAAAAACAATTAATTTTTTAAAATTTTTTAAAATTGGGATTTATAGCTTTTAATTAAATGAGGAATTATGAAAGGTGACAGATGGCCACTTCCTTTCTGGCTTTTTTTAATTTTTTAATATTGGAAATCTGAAGAGCTTTTTTGGGCATATCTAGCTAGAAACGACGACGTTCCAAGTCAATTTGACCTGATAAAGGCTGTTAGTTCTCTCTCTCTCTCTCTCTTTAAATTTATTTATTTATTTATTTATGGTTACTTTATAAATGAATCCCACCTTGATTGACCATTAAAGAAAAAGCAGCGAGCAAGGGACATTATAAATAATTTCCATTCTAAAACCATAGATTTAAAGATGTGCAATAACTTTTCCATCCACGTTCGATAAAAGATAAAAAGGATTTGTTTCGTAAAAGTAGATATTAATCATATTTTATCCATCAACTTGTATGGTGTACATGGGTTGAGTTCGAAAAAACATAAAATTTCAGGTTGGTGACACGAGCAACTCGAATAGATGTGGGACTTTCGTCCAACCATTTTGAGTATAAAATCTCATGGATTTGCCATGGACTTCCCTCAAAATGTTTCATACCAATGGAGATAGTATTCCTTGATTATAAACTCATGATCATTCTATAAATTAGTCGATGTGGGACTTTCATCCAACATACTTTCATTAATCTATTTTTCCAAATTTTATAAATATTATTAAATAAAATTTAAACCAAGTTCTATAGTTAGCATAACACCTAAGTACATAAAGGGAATAATTAATTAATTATTGAGAATTATGAGAGGTTGATTGGTGAACGAGGAGTCGGCGATTAATTTAAAGGGTGCAAAAAGTCGTAGAGTGACAAGTCTGGAGGCGAGTGCACGTGAGGGTTTGTTTGCAATGGATCGGCTGGAAGGGTCAAATCCACGGCCTCGATTCCGTAAAACTACATACCGAGAGAAGGAAAATGGCAGCTGGCTAATCATTAATCGTCAAAAAAAGGCATCTTTTAAATTTTAGTTATATTCAATATTTGCCATTCCAATAAAAATTTAAAAAATAAAAATAAATTTCTTACTTGGCAAATCCATCAAGTCATATTACGAATTTTAAAAATATAAAATGTAATAACTAATGATATATATTCTATTTTTATATAGTTTTTTCTCCCATATAATTAATATTGTAAATTACCAACAGGTCTCCTTCAATCATTTATAAAAATAAAAAAGTTTATTTTTTTACTTTAAAATCTATATATTTTTTTATTTATTTATTAAAACTGTTTCGATTGTCCAGTCTACTTGCATTCATTATTGTTCTATGATTGAAAAATATTGATATCGATATCGATAGGTCTTTTTAAGTTTGATATCATATATATGGACCTTATTAGATTCTTAAAAAAATAAAAATAAAAATCTACGTATAATTATATTATTTTTTAACATTAAGAAAATAAATTATTTTCAAATCTTTAAATGGTTGAAATTTTCATTATTATATGATATTATTGAAATAAAAAAAATCGAAGAGCTAAGGATGAATTATTAATTGCAACATGTCACATGTCGCATGTCTTAGTAGCTTTCGTTATTTATTTCACTTTATTAGGGCTTCCTTGCTAAAATCCAAAATTGTCAGGGTGTTATTTGTAAATACATGATCCTTAAATAATAATAAATAAAAAAAACTATTTTTGGCTCGAGTTTATCCCAATAAAATATTGACTATATTCCTCCATTCCAGTCTTGTCTTTTGAAGAAGGTTGTTTTGTTCATATGACACTATGTCCAACATCCCAACATAGATACCGTGCGAAGGGATCTAGAATCTAGAAGTAGTAGTGTATATGAATATACTTGAGTTAAGTTGAAGAAATCTTTTGGTCTAACTTGAAATATTGGGTTGGTTGTCCGATTATTATTATTTTTAATTATTAATATTTTCTTTTTCGGATAAAGAAAAGGAATTGGGTGGAGGGGTAGGGTCTCTTTTTTTTAAAAAAAAAAAAAACTATTTATTTATTTTCTTTTTTATAGTAAACTAAAAATTGGAATTAAAAAAAGAAAAATATTCAGCTTTTTGGAGCACTTCCCTCACAAACCCGTGCCCTAATGAGGGGACCCTATTCTCCACTGGGCTATGATATAATTATCTATTGTTCGTCATGTATTGGTACAACCTTATCCAGCTGAATGCCACGTGTTACTCGTTTAAACTCCAAACGTATAGATTGAGTCATAATTCATACCGCTTCAACTTTTTCGAAAGTTGTTTATGATGTGAGATTCAAAGATAAAAAGGCTAACAAGGCGATCGTCAATAAACTTGACCCGTACTTTAGAATACAGATGAGCTATTATTGACATCTAGTTTGAACTAACTCAAAAAATTTAACTTCGAATCTACGAACCATTGGCACATAGTATTCATCTACTACACTGAAACTCCAATATAAAAAAACGAAGGTTTATAATTTATTAACAATAATTACCTATCAATTTAATTTTTTTTTTTAATATGAAATGATTAGCAACCTATCAACTTTCTAATCAAGAAATTATATATATGATTATGAGAGTTGAATAATTAACCAGTATTAAGACTAATTAATTAACCACGCCTTAATTTACAAGAAAAATATATTAATTTAGTAATGGATTGTGATTGGTCTCTAAGATATGGATACAGCCCATGGAATCCCAAAGCTACCATCATTAATCCCTCATTATTTGGGTGATTAATTAACCAAATATCTTTGACTAATCTTAATCTAATCCGGGAGGAGATTGGGTCTGCTATCCCGATCATGATTTTCCTACCTTAGAGGGAAAAGTCCTTCCCTTTTTGGGTGGGAATTAATGGGCTTTTCTCCTAAACCTCGGCTTAGAGGGAAAGGTCCCTCATCGTATAATTACACCAAGTTATGCAAGCTTAACTTTGAAATTTCTACGATCGAGTCGTTGAAAAACAAGATGCAATTTTCTTTTTAATTACTAAATCATAAGAACCACAATGTGAAACATGTTTAGGTTAGAGTAATCCTCTATCGGTTATCCTTAAAAACATGCTAAAAGAACCTAGGTTGGTTTATGGGAACCGTCTTCAAATCGAGTTTGTAATGTAACGTGGTCATGTTGTAGGAAAGTATCTTAACCGCTAAGTTTCAACACTTTTTTCCCGAGTTCTCGACAATAAACATATTTAATTAAACATAGTCAGTTGTTTTCATATATTAATCTGAAAAGCATAGGTTATAATTGGCACTAAGTATACATTTTATGTGGGGGAGGCTAAGAATCTGTGAAGGGTCCCTCCTCTAAATTATTGAATTACAATCCCATGAATCTTATTTATGATTTAATTAATTAATATTCTCTTTTAATTATTTGATTTATAAATAATAATGTTGTGAAATGTCAATAATAATTATTTGATTGCAATGGAAGATGATATGAATACAAACAAAATAAATTTTAATTTGAAGGATTTTTTTTCCTGTTCTTTATGGAAATTGTCCCACTTGAGTTTCATTTGCATCACCATTGCATCATTTTTTTTAAAATAATATTTAATTTGTTATTAAAGTATTGTGAAATACAAAATTAAAAACTCGAGCGACATTTTTTCTCTCTAGTTTAACAACAGATGAATATAGCTAAAGAGTTCAAAACGTTCATAATCCTCTTTAATGAACACTACATTTAGTATAGATTCATTCTCATTATAAACGTTTGAGGTATAATGCTCCATACCGAGATTTGAGACTCGAATTTGAAACCGGATGACTTTAGTATTCTTCTGCATCTCATGTGACTGTAACTACGTTACTTGCTTGTCTCGAAATGCCTGTAAAGATGAAATTATCCTCACAGACCAACCTGAATCATTTCAACATATTTTGTTCTCACTCACATGGTTCCTAAAATCAGAATGTTGTCCAACATAAGATACCAGCCAAACATAAATTCTTTTCGGTTATAACCATCATATTCGCATAAATATCTATCATTGGGTTAGCCCACTGAGCCCAATGAAGCATGGGTTAGACCCAAGATTAGGCCCATATTAATTTTGGATAGAAACGGTTAATAATTAAAAATATTTTTTAACAAAAAAACCTACTTGTCCTTTAAATTTTCAAAAATAATTTTAATAAGGGTAAAAATTGGAGATAACCTATGATATTTATGGATTAATGGTAAAAAAATTGAAACTTTAAAAAATTTAAGATTATTTTTTAAATAAATTACAGGATAATTTTATTTATTTAGTTTTTTTATTTTTAATTATGGTGATTAGAAAATATGAGTTGACTTAAATAAGATAATAACGAGAATTAAGATAATGTTCACAACTAAATAAAAAACATAAACAATGTAATTATAGAAGAGTGGTCGTTTTTTTAAAAAATTGATCTTGCGGTACCAACGGTACAATGTCAAACAAATCGTACGGTCAAAAAAGGTTCCCGTTTTCATGAAGCAATAAAAAAATAAACAAAAATTTTGCAATTATTTGTCATTTTCAGAAGTCAAAATCTTCCTTCATG